TTACCACCCCCCATATCTTAGTAAATAAACGAGATATTTAAAAAAATCAAAATCCGTTTCGGTAATTCGGAGGGGGAATCACAATGACATAGTTGGGGACGCACTCCCTCCAACCCCCTGCGCCCCAGCCACCCCAACTTTTAAATCTTAAATAGTGACCCCCCATGTGTGTACGTCGTTGGAAAGCTCTGAAAAAATGCTTTCCAACCATACCAAATAGCATTACATTTAGGTTAGTAATTATCGTGCAAATCAAAAAATAAACTAATATGATACATTTGAAATCTGTCGTATTTAAAACGCAACCGGCGAACATAGACGAACTAAGACAGAGAATAATTCAAGAATGTCGAAATATTGCAAAACCAACATTTGAAAAGGTTCGACAAGAGTTTGAGAATAGATTATAACTGGCGATCAAAAATGAGTTGCTGTCAAGTCGGCTTTGGAAGTTCAAGTTAAATACGATTTTCCATGTTTATTTTTTGATTTGCACGATAATTACTAACCTAAATGTAATGCTATTTGGTATGGTTGGAAAGCATTTTTTCAGAGCTTTCCAACGACGTATCACACATGGGGGGTCACTATTTAAGATTTAAAAGTTGGGGTGGCTGGGGCGCAGGGGGTTGGAGGGGGTGCGTCGCCAACTATGTCATTGTGATTCCCCCTCCGAATTACCGAAACGGATTTTGATTTTTTTAAATATCTCGTTTATTTACTAAGATATGAGGGGTGGTAAGTTTTCAAATTGTCACCCTGTATGTAACGCTTATATGAAACGCTCGAATGTTGAAAGTCTAGAGTGGCACGCCAGAGCAGATTTGAAATGCGACAGACACAGTTCGTGAAAGTGATTTACTAGTGGTGATAAATAAATAAATAAATAAATAAATAAATATATAAATAACTAAATACATAAATAACCACGATACACTTACACACGGTATGCTCATTATTTTTCTCAAACGCGTTTTCTACTGCGCATTACGTCACCTGCGAACATGTGGCGCCAAAATTCAAATGTTTACGCCAGGACCGAACTAGTGGTACACATGTCACGCGTGACAGTTTTGCAACTTATAAGTATCTTGTATCTACGAGGTTTAGCGTTAATTTGTTGATAGCTAATTAATCATTAGTGAAATTTCCAAAATGCCAGGTTCTGTAGTGGCTCCTTGGGGCAATTCTAATAGAAAAACAAAAGGAACGGAAATAAAATACTTTCGATTTCGGAAAATTGAAAACTTTTCTCAAAAATGGATTGTTGCAAGTCGTCGTAAGGACAAAATTAACTTGAAAAATGGTGTTACATTAATATTAAGTGGTGTATTTAAGTCTTTCCATTGCTGTTTAATTCTATAACCTGTATTTGCTCTGAACATGTTGAAGCCAGCCGTTTTGAAGCACCGCTAAGGGAACGATTTCTTAATTAAACCTACTTTTAAAAACAGCGGACATTTGAAAACCTGATGCTTTACCTACTTTAAAACTACCACGTAATAATGAAAATCAAAATAAAAGGGAAACGGAAGAGAAATTCGATCTTTTAATAAAGCATTAATTACATAATATTTACTGAAAAAGCCGCACTTCATGTTTAGGGCCAATATTTTTCATTCGAGTTTATTTCATACGATTACCAAATCCCAGAAATACCCGCCGCGACGATCTCTACACAAAATCAGTGTGATTTGTCGATCTAAGAAGCGTAATTTTGCTCTATATTCTGTGGTTTTGTTCGCACGTGACGTCACGCTAGATGCGCAAGAGCATACCGTTGTAAGTGTATCGTGATAAATAACGCTTATTAACCGAGCTCCTAGCGAGTTTATAATTTTGCTGTGCTTGTCCGTCCATCCGTCGGTTCGTTAGTACGATATCTCGAAAACGAGTGAACCGATTACGATGAAATTGTGCAGGTGGATTCTTGAGCAAATTTCGAGATCGGATTTTGTGAACTGAATGTAGGACAAAAAATAAGGAAGGCTCTTTTGACATTGCCGTTAGTTATGAACCGAATTGCATGAAATTCAATATGGGCATAGCTCTAGACATATAATACGCAATGCCAGTCTAATCGATTCCTTTGGTATCTCGACCAATTATGAACCGAATTGTCTATTTCCTGTAATTTTACGTCCATGATCACCTTTGTCTCCTTGGCACCTTTTTTTTGCCAGTGAAACTCTTATTTAGTGCATAGCACATCAATATGATTTTGTCGGAGGCTACTCCACTCCCTTTTCGGTCCACTTTCAACGTCCCGCTCAGCCGCAATTTGCGTTTAAAGTTTTCACTTCACCATCACTCAGGTCTTGTCCGGTGTTACCCCATTCTCTTTGTCGGTATCAACTTCTGACGCCTCCACAGTCATATAAATGCGCCATTTTGGTGGACTTCGCTAGAATCCCTCTACTCAATTTTTGAGACACTGCTCATAGCTCGAGCTTCCATTGGTTACACGAAAAAGAGAGACCGCGATTTGAGATTGAAGAAACTTGACACCGCGTGAAAAAATTCGTAGCGGAAGGTAACTTTTGGGCGTCTGAAGCCGACCATCCCTGGAAGACGCAAGCCTTGTAATTAATCCATTAATTTCGCTCCTACGAAAAAACAAAATCCGTCACGTCCAAAACTGTAGAAGAAAGAAACGGAAAAATCATCACGTTAGTAAACCACGCTCGGGGATGGTATCCAGATGGTTCCGAACCCACACCATATATCCCCGTCATTAATTATTAATTGTTAATTACGCGGCCTCGGTAGGTACACCTACACCCCTCGTCTTTCTACAAGCGTTATTTTACGGGCCCACATTTGCTGTCAGCCAGCCAACCAGCCTGCCAAAAGATTAAAGGCTACATTTTTGTAAAAATGATCTAAAAACATCAAAAGAGCATGACTCTACTCCAGAACCAGCTACCGTTAATGTCGAACTCCAAAAAATACAGGTGAAAACACAAGCAGTATTCATGTTACAGCGTTTATCACAAACCAAACCACATACGAAACGGAAGAAAGGTTAATTCGAAGGCCCCCTTTCTCGTATTGCTAAGACAAAAGCACTGTAGTCTGCACGAGATGAAAAAGAAACATACAGCGATGAGGTCCTTTTTCTACGGAAATAAATTGTTAATCAACACATACAGGACAGTATCACACTGATAATATACTTACACTTGAATACACAAATGCTTAATAAAATTATATAAAGGGGTAACCACCTATACATAAAAACAAACATGATTCAGTAATAGTACGCAAAACAAAAGTTTGGAGCACACTATGCTGCAATAAGCAAATATCAGCATTTTATCCATAATGTAAATAATAACAAATTATGAACAATTGACCCACGTTAATTTTCTACCAAGCTTCGTCATAAAATCTCCTGTTCTTCGACATCGGTGCAAAACGGTTGAAGACAAAGACATATCACGATTGTTGTATACAGCTTTTAGTAGGGGAGCCCAATAGGGGATTTTGGGATTTACTCGAGCGCGTCAGATTAAAGTAAGGTGGGTTAACCGCATGTTTAAAAGTGTGCATTTCGATAATCTGACGATTTGAGCGTGATGCAAGGGAGTGGGAGGTGATAAACTTGCAAAAAAAAAACGTTACCTTGACATTCTCGAGCGCGTTGGATTTTTTTTAATTTTTAAGCAAATAATTCAACAATAACAGCACAAATCGTCAATAAAAAGTATGCGTTCAGCAGTGAAGCAAATCAGCTGAATGATAGGCCAGGCATTCGTGTGATGAATTATTATATGTACAATGCGCTCAAATAAATCCAATTTTCTACCCTTCCTTACCATACAAACCGGCAGATTAAGATACCTCCAATATCAGAGACGGGTGAGGCAAATATACACTATCAATCTCTAACGCGCTCGAGTACATATTTTCAAGTGACTATTTTTTTTATACATCACTAAAAACATGCAGTAGCCACGCCCCCCACCGGTGGAGGGATATAGATCATATAACTTTTTCTCTTTCGACCATCTAATCTACAAAGTTCAATAGGTCCCTACGACAGGTAAATCCACGTTTGGCATCGTACACTTTCCTACTATTTCGTATTAGTTTCCATACTGCTTTTCTATTCAGGATGTAAGATGAGTTGCCTAACCGTAGGGGTATATCACCACAATAATTTGCAATCTCAGCTTTCCGGAAGTGTGGGAGTGAATTCATGACTGCCTCTAACAACTAACTCCAAGGCTTTGGGTTGTAACAAAATGAACTCACGAAAGAAGTTCACCTATTTTTAGAGAATATTTCTATGTCACAATTAAAAATCTATAGAAATATAATATTGTACTTCCAAATTTCCTTAACAGCATGCAAATGTGTTTCGCTTGACCTGAAATGCAATGAACCAATGCTTATATTTCCCTGATACCAACCAACATCATTCAACAGTATAGAATGCCAATATAGATAATAGGGAAACTTTTTTCTATGAAAAGGGTTTTAGCTTGCCCTTGCTTATCAGTTAGGGTAGCGATGTTTCGTAGCGAGCACAAAGAACATTCTCTGCTCTCGTCAGAATAGTTTCAGCGCACTGACTTATACAGATGAGGATGTTTATTGTTGTTCCTTGTCCACATTGACGCATCTTTATAATGCATGGTAGACTAATTATAAGTACAAGCACCCAATTACAACTTCCATAAACTTAAAGGCGACATTCCTAACCAGCACGGAAGCACTATGCGGGTGGTGTGTTTTATTACTCATTTGAGACAACATAAAAACTGAACGCAGTGTCTCAAAGCTGGATATTAACAAGTAATTAAACTAATAGCTGGTGAAAACACATCTTCCTGTATCATTTCTGATGTAATATTTGGAACGAAACCGTTCTCTAATGGCTTTAACGTCCAATTTAAATGTCTGAAAGTAATAAGATGTCTAAAATGCCGGCACACGAACCACTCTTAACTCCCTCGAAATTTCATTAGGTAAATTTATGTCTCTCTCTGTTACAGATTCTGTCAGTGGTCAGAAAGCCAGCGATGCGAACGCCAAGGAATCTGTTCATTGTTAACCTGGCGGTTTCCGATCTGTTGCTCTGTACTGTCACGATGCCTCTTACGCTGATGGAAATTTTGACTAAGCACTGGCCTCTAGGGAATCACTCCTTTATCTGTAGAATGATAGGAGCACTTCAAGCGACGAGTATATTTGTATCTACAATATCTATTACGGCGATTGCATTAGATCGATATCAGGTTAGTAATGTTCTACTTACATTATATTACGATACATTTCGAGTGGAATCCATTAAGATACATGCAACAGAGATTCCTTTTTTCCTGCTTGCTCAACTTCACGCAGCTTTAATTGTGTTGAAACAAAAACTGGCAATATCGATTGTAACCCAGAACTAAAAAAATTCACCTAAGAATGTGCTCAGATATCTCTCACGAGCTTCAGTCCTTTGTAAGATGATCCAACGTTTTATAATAGAATAAAATAGTCGTTTGCTAAATCGTTAAAAAGGTATAGTCAAGAGCACAATCCTGGAGAAATATATACAAATAAAGAACGTGAATTTTTAAAAAAAGCTCTAATGTACCAGTACACTTATCATATTGAAAGCCAGAAATACTCACAACGCTTCAGTGGTGTGGATATGGATCTCAATCTATCACGCATAGTTAGAAAGCTCTTTACATTGACCGTAAAATGGTGAACGTAGTAAATAGAATGTAATAGTGAAAATGCTAGAAAATTATTAAACTAAATTGTAACAAATAGTTTGATGTAACACATTATCCCATACTATTTATTCGTGAAACATCATAGAAATCTTTAAAATGGGATACGGTAATGGTAATGGAAATGTAATCGACCGTCTACTTGAACTGGAATACTACTTGATTATGCAAGGCTATGCAGTCATGAAGCAAATTATTTAGAAATGGGAGATATATTATGTATGATCAAGTAAAAACATACATCCTATTATACTACTCTTTGAACCTCTTCGGTGAAATTGTAAATCCGAATATCAGGTTCTTTCATTTTTGAAATCGTACCTACCAGACCGGTTTTTACGCATTTTTGATACTCAAAAAGGAGCTTATAGTTCCACTAACTGTCGGTGGTTCGGGCGCCTTCTGGCTGTTTTACAAATCGATCGAGATCTCGGCAACGGAATATCGTCGAACTTTCGGGTTTTCGGCATTCTATTCGTACTATCGTCTGATTCCTGCATCGCTTAGTCTGTGAAAGCCCTCAAGTGGAAGTGGATCAAGATCTCGACAACGAAGTACCACAGAGTATTGAGATTTTCCGCATTAGGTACAATTACTCAGCAAGCTGAAACCCATTGCTGCGCGAATTTCGCCTAAAAGAGTGCTTTCATAAATGTAGCGGTGGTGTCACAGCCGCCGAAGGCGTGAAGGACTAACAAATGCTTTTTGGTTTCTTTAGAGAGTTTAGAACTGTTGGGTGTGTAAATGGTTGTATCTAGGTTACCTTTTCCAGGAACATATTGGTGACAGGTTTTCCTGCTCACTTTCATTTGCTATGTGGTCAGTCAGCAAAACCAGAGATCAATGTTTTCCCCAATAATGAAGACTTTTCTATGGCTGTGCAATTAGACCCAAAGCGTTTTTTGGCGTACTGGATGTACTTATCAAGGATGGAGGAGACATTTCACCAGTATTCCATACAACCCGCCGCCAACTACGTTTGTAGCTCAAGTAATTTTTGAGAGATGTGATAGCTATATTTTAGATTAAATATGAATCGAATGCAAGTATTTTGCACCCGTTGTATTCGCGTTATAGTCGTGGAGTCTAGACAAGGGCCATACAATATACCTATCTCCATAATTGAATATCGAAAGAACCAGGGATTCGCAAAGTAAAATATTAAGTTTTCTGTTTAAAATATCTTTATTCGAGTATAATTTACGTACCAGGTAAGCCGCTTTTATTTTATTATTTATGTGCCTCGCAAACCTTAGCGTATGGTCCGATAAAACCTAAATTTTTTACTTCATCTGATGGAGTAATATTCGAGTTATTTAAGATAATTGTTATTAGATCAAGCAACTCATCTCTAACTAAAGCAGGGGCAAAAATGATAGCTGATGACTCCGCATTGATATAATGAGTGCTCTGTTGCAATCCTAGCTAGGCTGGTCAAATTTCTAGGCTCATTTTGACGGTCGATTGTGGCTAAACCACTGAACTGATATTAATTTTTAATAGACCGTCTGACGCGAAAATGTATGCTGTTTAATCTTGTTTATGTAAGGTGCTCCGTTTTCGGGTTATAAGCGCGCTAAAAAGTCTAAAAATTTCTTGGTTTTTCGGTTCTCAAAAGTTTGGCACAAGTCAGAAAGCGTCGCAAACTCATTTAACACTTATTTGGAATGCATATTGTCGATTAAAATGATTTCCAGCGTCAGGGTTGATTTTACTGGGTTATAGGACATTTTAACCTCTTTCAGAAAGTTTTTTTTAAACTTCCCAAAACAATAAAAGTGCACGTGGTTCGTTGCTCCTCATAGGTCGGTTCACATACATTCTCTGTTTCATGAATATGGAAAACCTACGCTCCTTACGCCCTCTTTCAGGCTTCCTTCACCTTTATTTTACGCGCCAAGCTTTTCTCAACGTTCTTTTATATTTCTTTCACCACCCGTTATATCTTCTTCAAGGCTCACTCACGTCTCCTTTAAACTTTCTTCACTTCTTTGAGACCTCCTTCACGTGTTCTTCACACTTTCTCCACGATTCCTGCAAGCCTATTTCACGCTTCCCTCAAGCGCTCTTCTCTCACCTTTACGTTTATTCCTTTAGGAACTTTAAGACTTTTGATTTATTTACGTCCCATTTGCGTCCGCTTACTGCTTCCCGCTCATACCTCTAAAAAGCATTATGCGGGCCACTCTGTAATTGGGCGCAAGTCTGTTGAGGACCCAGAACAAGAGAGATAGAGGGATTCAGGTAGTTCAAATCTCCCTCGCGTCGTCTTCATGTTCCGATAAAAACGTTGGTTCGCAAGCGAAAAATTGCAGTGCATCTTTCATAAATATCCAAATAGTAGGTTGGCAACCATTGGTTTACCAAATGTCGTTGAGATCAGAATTTTTTCCAATCCTCATTTTAGGCTTAGGATAGGAACTTCGAAAAAGGTATACTAAAACATCTTGATAAAATCGCTGGTATACCCATCCACACACTATGATTTCTGAGAGAAAGTCGAAAAAAATACGTATATTTTGGAGCTTCTACCACTTCATTCTCTTTTACATACTTATACAGTGCGTTCTTAAATATACACGTCAATGCACTGGGATGCCTAACAGTTATGCAACCCACGCTACGCACAGGTTGATAGCAGTGTAAACAAAAGAATCTTAGTTATTTTAGATGCGTAGATTAGACTTATAACTATGAAACTGTCTTTAAAGTGGTTTCATAGTGTTTTTCAGCTATTGTCATTTGCTGCGAATTGTCGAATTCAATACGAACGTATGTCAAATTTCAAATTCTCTAGCTAAATTTCAAAGAGTGATGTAATTGGATTTTCTTCTACGTAAGCTTCCATTACTACAATTAAAACACGACAAGTTCTTTTTCTGGTGTAACGTTCATTAACAATTTAACCATCAAAATGAAATTTTTTAATGCTGCTGTGAATTATGCAATTTTCTTGTCGGGGTATTTAGCAGCAGCAATCCATTTTTTTCTACTTTTTTTTTACATTTTATTAACAATATAAGTAATAATCTTAATTGAAGAAATAATTCAGATATTGACGTCTATTGAAAATCATTTGAAACATTGTGAAAGTAGGTAAGATTGGTGGCATATCTTAAGGGGCATTTGATTTGTATATTTAAAAATTGAACATAGGAGATTTGTATGTTCAGCGAGGTAAAATTTACACACTGTATGTTACACCTCATTTTCCTGGTGCGCAAAGGCTCACGAGAAAGCATCAATTTCGTGTTGAGTTCTGCTTTCGACTACTTTGTCGACATATCAACAAAATCATTTCGAAAGGAAAAGAGCTTAAAATTATGTATCTCAGGGGATAGACTGTAATTTAAAATCTCAAGGTACTTGGAGAACGCATATTATTTGGGTACGTTTAGATTAGGGCCCCTTTCATACTATCGAAACGGTTTTTAGAATTTTGAACTATCTATTAGTAGTAGATTGAAATTTCGCTGGTATTACTCCAAATTGGGTAAATTACAGTAAGAGTAAGTACTTAAGTAGCAACTCAGAACCTCCCCTAATACTTGAAAACTTAATTAATAAAATTGTAAATGGGAAAATTGACAAGTGGTTTAAAAGGCGTGATATAAGATTGAAGCGTGTAGTGGTTACGTACTAAAAATTACTTCAAATTTACATGTTGAAACATATAGGTATAGGTAGATATAGTCTTCCTGCAAGAATACCATTATGCTCATTGTTTTGAAATTAACGAATGACATGACGGCACATTTGAAGTAGGGCTATGCTCTCCAAAGCTAATTCCTGAAAATCCTTCTAGTCTATTTTTTGCGTTAAACGTGTTACAATGAGACATGTTATAATGATTAAATAGCAGAGAGCTTACACATTTTTCATCCACATCTCGGCTTTTTACCCATGCCACAAAAGTGAAAATGACTAAAACGTGTTTTGCATTCTTTGTAATTTTTTTAAATGATGTAAAATATGCAGATGTATTTTAATTTAATTCCGAGATTGAAACGTAGTTACGGCAAAATGTAATTTAGAGAAATTAATGTGGAACGTTTCGCCATCTGTTACGAAACACTGCTTTCAGCACGTAATTCGAATAGGCAAAAATAAAAAAAAAGATTCGTTCGATGGCGAGAACTTCAAAGCATGAAATCAATATGTTTTGTTTTATATAATTATTTCTCGAGTTACTCGACAAAAAATTGGAAAACGCGAAGGGCAGTTTCTTTATGAAAAGCGGCTACAAAATGATAACGTATTTTAATTAGGTCAAAAAGGAATTTGTGAATAAAAAGTAAAACGTTTTCAGCGAGCTATATATTTAATTATTTTTATCAGTACCTTCTCATCGTTAGATAACAGTCGTATTTTTTCTTTGCAGGTCATAGTCTATCCAACGAAGGAAAATCTCCAGCTGTTTGGAGCGGCAATAATCCTACTTATTATATGGATGATAGCAATGGTGTTAGCGTCGCCCATATTTATATACAAACGTTTAGCTCATCACGATTTTAAGCTGAACGGCACTGAACTTGATGGACTAAATTTTTGTATAGAAGATTGGCCCATTGCGCACGGACGTGCCTATTACTCCATATTTTCACTTGTCGTGCAATACATCTTACCCATCATTATTGTATCGGTAAGTAAATATTTACCTACCTATTGTAGATGTTGTAGTGGTAGCGGAGAATGATATAGAATGATATTGCAGAAAAGCGTTTGCAATATCATTTACCCAAAGCCAGTAATGTGGAATTTTCTTGGCTTTTATGCAAGTTTGACTTTATGTCTGTCCAAATTACAAATGTTCAATGTGTGCCCCATGCGACACACGCCCAAACGGTAATCTCGCTCAGACCACAGATTTTAAAACATGCCCATGTTTATTGTTAGCTTAGCAGCACTGATGTGTCTTTTAACTTCATCAAGTGTTCTTGGCATTATATTTGTGACATAATACCTACATTTTTTATGTTTCTATATCCAAAAAGATGTGCACTTGAACAATACGTTTCAAAAATTAATAGTTGACATTATAAAGTACATATATATGCCCCCTTTGACCATGTAGACGTGCGCCACTGACAACAATTTTAAGATTTTTAGATTGATAGAAAACATTTTATCATTTTGGATACCATTAAAAGCTTCTTTAAAAATGATGTTTTGAAGATATTTGTGTGACCCTTTAACTTCGGGTTACATAAAAAATCAATGCAATACTCCACGTTGGGCGAGCAAATGAAAATGCTGTGTGTGACCCAGCCAAAATGAACCATACACGGAACACCTGAACCTTAGCTCTCCCAGTACACATCCGTATCCCTGCACAATAAAAAAATTTCAAATTCCACATTGTAAAGCAAACAATGGTCACGATCAAATTCCTTAAACTCCAAAAGGATTACTTACCAAATTTTTAAGGCACTTGAAATGATTTTCGCCACGGATCAACAGAATTAATAATATTTAAGCACGAGACATCTATTTGAATCTTTAAAGGGATGGAATAGACATCCGATTATCTCTTTTATTTGACAAGATTCGAAAAAATGGCCACATAATTTTGTACGAGACGTAACTTTTGTTTTTCAAATTCAATGTCTATGTTTTTCTAATCTTTGAAAAGAGTAGTCAATTTGCTGCACGACAACATAAAATATGCGTATGATTGATGCACAAAAAGAATTGAGTCATTGGCGTAATTCAATATTTAAATAACATTAAATATAGCATACCATGTGCTTTCAGAATGCGCGGTGTTTGTTGTGCTACACAGAAAACATCAACTTGTAACACAACATATAATATACCGGGTGGTGCACGGTAAGTAGGAACATAGGGGTTTAACATGGGAAATTAGTTTTATGCAATATCCTGCGCTCCTGCACATTTTACAGAAAAAACTATAGAGTTTAAAGTTGTTCAGAATTAAAAGGTGCATACAAAATATAAAGCTTTCTGTTATTAGTAGCAATAGCCACGACTTTTGTTGTTTTATGAATTGTTACTAATAACAGAAATGTTGAAATTTATTTTTAAATTTGCGGGTATACCAAAAGCTTAATAAAACATGTTAAAACAGTTTTGTATGAACCTTTTAATTCTGAACAATTTTAAACTCTACAATTCTTTCTGTAAAACATACAAGAGAGCAAGATATTGCATAAAAATAATTTCCCATGTTTAATTCCTATGTTCCTACTTACCGTACACCACCCGATATACATATAATTTCGTTGTAAATGTGATAGATTTTGAGGTTTGAGTTTTGAATATTATTGGAAGGCGTCGAAATATAGTTAATTTGTTCGATAAAGAAGTGGCTATATAAGGTTACAGTGCTTAGTTATAAAATCACCGTGGAAACTCTGGAGTCACCTTGTTCTGGGAAAGACATGAGATAATATTAATAAAATAATAAAGTTCCAGTGGTTCCAGTGTTTTTCTAAACAATAACATTACATTACCTTATATAGTACATTACATTAGCTTTTATAAGAAAATTCCATGTTTTGATAAATAAATAAAGTAAAGTAAAGTAAGAGAGTTAGAACTCGTAAATAAAATAGAAACCCCTATTTTACTTCACTCGCAAAATGCTCATGTTATCCTCTTAGGTGGGGTAACACCCTAAAAAGATTAAATGATATTGTGGGACTCATCACAGAAAACTCATCCCGCGCCATTCTAATAATGTCAATCACGAAACACATAATCTCATGTCACATTGACATTTTTTGATATGTTCGAGCAGAGAGAGAGAGAAAAGAACTTTAAATTTTGACAACATGTATCAGCTTATTTAAATCCAATGCTTAATTTTTTGGTAAAATCACTTGGTTCCAATTGCAAGTAAATCAATGATGAAAAACGCATAAGAAGAATTTTGAGGGAAACAAAACGAATTTCAGGATTTGAGATAGATAAAGAACTTTACGGGAACATGAGTAGAATTTGCAGAGAACATAAGAATTAAGAACTTGAGAACATCTTGCAAAGAATTTGATAGAAACTTGAGATGAAATGGAGGGGATCTTGGGAGATGTTTCAGAGGACGTTTAGAACGGCTTGAGGGGAAGTAATAATTATTTCTTACATAAGACAGAGGGATGTTTTAACCATTGAGGTGGTTAGTTTTCCGTTATCGTCATGTATAATACACAACTTTAGTTTACAGCTGAAAATAGCACGATTGGGTTCATCCGTCATTTCCATGGAAACAGTATTGTTTTCTGTTACGAACTTCTATTTTATTTCTTGCTCCGCGTCCCATTTTCAATAAGAATGACAGATGCCATTTGTTTTGCTTTATCTACATTTGCTATTAAATATATCATTTTATCCACTCTTACTGCCAAAGAGAGACTTAGTCTACTCATTGAAATCTGTTAGTGTCAATTTAACATCTGCTATAACAAGGGTTGGGTTGGTAGAGCAGCCTTGGCTGAAACCCCGCCCACTCAAAAATAAAGGCAAAATAAAAAATGAAAATAATTTAGGAAGGCTTGACCAAGCTTTGAATGGGTTTTATTGGCGCTTTATGGAAAATTTGATGTTTGCATAGCGAAAAATTAAGAAAGAAATTAGGCAGTGAACGTAAAAGTAACTTAAGAAGAACTTAAGACGAATTAGGTGGGAGTATCCGAAAGAAAGTGAGACGATGGGGATGGTTCAAAGGAAATTGAAAAGGATTTGAGAGGGACTTGAGGAAAAAATGTGAGGGTCAGTCGTCAATTTAATAAAATAATAATCCCAAGGTAATGGAGGGGGGGCACAAAGTATAATGTTACTTCAGGCACGAAAATATATGACAATTGTCCCAATTTGCCTATGCTTCTATAATTATCTACTCCATGTAATTGCAAGTGCATTATCGGTATCGCTTTCTAAAAGGCATATGGCTTCATTTTCCAAATGGGGGTGCACGTGGTATCAAGTTTATTCGTTAACCATCGTGCGCTATAACGAAATGCCATAATATTATTTTAAATACAATGGAAATACTAACAATTGGTATGCGTATACGCAACCTTTAAAAGGGGATTCCTTCAGTAGCTCTAAAGTTTGTTTTTCGAAGTAATTAGGTGCAAAGCAACCATAATAGTATAGAAACTACTGAGAGCTTTGGTATTTCTCTAATTTCTCGAACGTGACTAAGCGACCTAAGAAAACGTCGCTGTCAGATCAAACCTGAAATGTAGCCAATTTTGTACACCATATTAGCGGTCAGTAGAGGGTCAAGTTACAAATTATTATAACAAAGAGACATTTTAAATGCCAAAATCATGGATGGCGCCAAATTCTGGTTGATTGATTACATGGATTACAACAAAGCAAAGTTATGTGAGTCGTAATCGCACAGTGATTTATAATACGGGTAGACATTTCCCATTTTTAGAAGGCTATATTATTACGGAAATGATTGTCTACTTCATCGAAGTTGAGAAAAAGTTAGATTTGTGCAATCAATCTTTTACCGATAATAATTCCGAGACGCTCTCCTTTTTATTTCAGAAAAACATATTGACAAATCGGTTAAATTAATGTTGTACCTAATTCAATAATCAGTATTATAAAACAGGAGTTTCTGTATAGACGCGCCTGCAAAAGTTAATACGAAGCTTATGGTGCTTTCAGCTGGAAACTTATCTCGCTATTCGTGGTTCCCCGAACCGCAGAAAGCCGTAGGTATTTCGCGCTATTACCGTGTCAACAAAAATTCCGGGGATTTTGCAAAATAGGATTTAGAGTACATTTTATTACAGTCACTAGCAATTCGCTCTATAATTATTGTTTAGATACGAATAAAATCTCTTCAAACTTATAGACTTACTTGTTTGGTCCGTTTTCATTTTTCACAGGGGTGAAAGCGTAGAGTATGAGTGAAATTTTCGAGGAGGATGATTGAAAATAATGAGTTCCTTTCAGGCAATTTCAATTAGGAGCAGCGGCGTCTTCGCCCCTCAAGCACAGAGAATGAAAACGAAATACTTGAGAAAATACTAAGGAAAAACTTTAGTACAAACAAAGATTTCTGTTTCAACTTGTAATTTGTGAAATCAATCGGCCCTTTGTTCTACAAGTTAATTAATAGCAGGCAGCCTTTTTCGTTAATGCTTAACGGAAGCTAGTTCAGACGCTCCTTTAAGTAGGGGTAAGTTTCTGCTCAATTATGTTTCGTTTATTGGTTATAAGAGTCTCTAAAAAAAATGAATGTATCTGCCATGCTCTTTACTTGTTAAACCGAGTGAAAGAATACGAGCGTGTGTCCTCTATTTCTATACTTTCAATTAATTCATTTCAGATTTGTGCCAAGACTGATGAATAAGCTCAGATTTAGATTAGATTAGATCCAAGTTTCCTTTGGCATATACAAATGGCATAAACAAGTAGTTTGTGATTATGTGTTTATCTTTCCCTTAATGATGTAATAACTTAGTTTGTATAGGCAATAAAGTATTGTGCCAACTTCGTCACAGAGATCTCTGATTAAGCTGTTAATGGTTAACGAAGTAAACATTTAACTTCAGCTCATTTAAACGTTCATTCTGCCCTCCCTTATCAGTTTTAAGCTTTGTAGTTCTTTCGGGTTCTATTTCAGTAAAGAAGTTCAATCAGAGTGGTGCTGGTTATAAT